GTGATATCAAAACCTTCATTTGATTTTTTAGCTATCATAAATTCGATTGTTTATATGCTTAAATACATTATTTAATATAATAATTTATTTTACTGATATCTAAAATTCGATTTTGCGATATCAATAAATGTAACATGATATCATAAAATCAAATTTGTGATATAAATTCATTCTTTGGAATCAATAAATGAATTACCGATATCATAAAATAAGGAATAAATAGTTAAAAACTGCGCCTTTCATAGTGTTCCTTTTGTGTTGTATTGAGTAACGCGATTGCATCACGGTCATACTGTTAATTGCTTGTCAGTTTCTGCACCAATATTTCTTTCATCGTATGAACAACTGTTACAAAATATCAACTTATATTTAACTATTAACTGTAATCAAGGAAATAATGTGACCTGCGTTTATTTATCTCACGATCGTTATCATAGATAACGTCTGTTGTTGTTGCCTTAGGTGCTTAAGAGATCGCCTTCTGCCTAGGCAGTCTGGGCTTACCCGCCCTTGTTTGGTACTCCCGTGTGTGATTAGGGTACACACATCATTTCTGTTTTTGTATTGATATGATTTCTATTTTCGTATTTTCATTTTTTATCTTTGGCTGCTCTGTTTAAATATGTTCGGGTCGCTGTCCATCTCTCAGAAATAGAGTTAGTCTGGCCTTCGCTATTGCATCTCTTGGCTTTAGGAGATCTGGTGGGGGTGGGGGCAGTTTCGACTTACTAAGTGCCCTAAAGTGAGTTTATTCTTAGACATGTTAAAACAGATTGACCCTACAAGATAAAGCTAAAAACTGTCTCTCGGACGGTTATGGGTGTATTTGATAATATTACTCGGGAATGTTCAAATTAGTTACTGTCATTTACTCCAACGTTGTAAATGCGTGTCGTCTCAACAGGACCATAACTTTGGTTATTTTTTCGACTATCGGTATTTAGTTGATAATCGGTAACATTATTTCTACTGTGGTCCATGTTTATCAACTTTTTCATCAGCTTGACTGATTTGTTTACATAATTAAAAAAATCTAATTCATCATGAACTACTGAGGCATTGAAGCACCTGTATTATTAGAAAATATACATGTCAAGAAAAAACAGCGATGTTACATTTAGTCCAACAAGCAGGTAATAATTTCGTCGCAATACACTTGAAAAATTGCTGGTGTGAAGTAACATTTCAATTCACTCGCAGACATATCTTAAGTAATATTTGCAATTTGGCAAACTATACTTATATGAATAAAAATTCATAATCACTTGTCAATTTCACCAAGGTGTCACCAGCTGTAAGTTTACAAAATTACAAAATTCACTAAGTTTACAAATCAAAACAAATTACAGAATATCAATTGCATTGGCAGTAAATAATAGAGTGGTAGTACAGTATTCAATGGCAATATATAATATGTCTGCAGTGGTCAGCATGAAATGCAAAATTACGGTGGTGATAGTAAAAGTCAAGCTTCCGAGATGGGCTAGGCAGGCCAGGGAAATCAGGGATGAAGTGCGATCCTCACATGAAAGCTGGTTCCGATGTGATGAAATGCGTGAGATATATACGTAAACAGGCTATTGTCCCCTTATATACAACCCAACTAGCTACTGGAAAGTTCTACATAGTTCTCTCACCTCACCAGTCTAGCGGCACTAGAACATTACAGAAGTTTCTATATCATACTATCACCCTCCGCGGTATACCGGACAGGAAGTTTACCCACCACACCAACATCTAAACATAGTAACTTCCTGCCGACTGATCATCGTCCAAACACAATACAATAAGCGTCTACTGAATATCAACAGAAAAAATGTAACACAGTTAGTTTATTGTTCAACAATAAAATGCACTTCCATGTAACAAAGTCTGTGGGTAAGTAATTGAGTTACGATCCTTTTACGGGCGCTTTACAGGCACCAATGTGATTGATATTGTGAGCAAATTGAAGCTCCCTCGGATCAAGATGCCACGCAATGAACCAAGTGCCCCTGCCTTGCCGCAAGAGCCTTCACGTCGCATCAAAAGCCAGTTATATATTGGTGGGATCAATACTAGCCTGGGACTCGGATATTTATTCATACAGATAGAAGGCTGTGTTAGTCGTATGGTTAAGGATTTGATTCGTAATTGCGAGGACGGGGTTCGATTCCTAACGTGGGTTAATTATGTGAAACCCTTTTCTGGTCCATGACGTCGTAACATGACCTGAATATTGTCAAACCTTACTCATTCAGAAGTGACGCGGTGAAGAAAGTTGGTGAAACGTCTGTAAAATATATAAATCGCAATCCTTATGCGTGTCATTCGTCACCGCTCGCCCCTTTCCGAAACCCGCAAGCTTGTCCCGGAATAACACGAGTTGGTCACGAATGTATGCGTGTGAGGATGTCCGTATGTTTTTTCTGATTTTCCAATCTCCGCCCGTCCTGAATTTTCATTCCGGCGAAACCCGTGAAGATCCGGGGTAGAATAGGTCTTCAGCAACCCATGCTTGCCGTAAAAGCCGACTATGCTTGTCGTAAGAGGCGACTAACGGGATCGGGTGGTCAGGCTCGTTGACCTGCTTGAAGCATGTCATCGTTTTCCAATTGCGTGGATCGATGCTCATGATGTCAATCACCCTTTATCGTGTAACTATTTCTTTCAATGCCAGAGGTGAATTAAAGTCAAACTCAGGAGAATTATATACCTTGCCCGCCTAGGACATAACTGCAAACCTTCTGAATAATTTACTTAGTTATTGTCATCGGTGTAAAGGCCAATACACCAACACTTTCGTTTCGTTCCCGGCTATAGCACTGCAGATATGCTGGTCGATCCATCTTGACAATAATGGCCCTTTGGGGTCAAACATTTTAAAATGATCACTTTATAGTTCTCTTCATACGAAAATACAATCAACATATTTGAAAATATTTCAAATAATATCAATGAAACATCGTTAAGCCGGACGGAATTATTCTCAATGAAACAAAGTATCACGATTAATGGGATTTTAATATGAAAAGAAAATACTGATATCCACATATAGCTTTGATACCTCAAACAGAAAGGTCCACCAATGTTTCTGATGCCAGAACGCGTTTCTTCTCAACCTGGCGTGGAAATGGCATATGAACGTCTCTAGATTTACAGGAATACTAGTATTTGGGGGTACATGTTTTAATTGCTTTGAGTAGTGCTGTCTGGGGTAGTCTTAATGATGGTTGAATAAGCAAGAAATATTTCAAAATTCATTTTTGGTTTGTGTATGAAGATATTGCGGGCTTAAATGGAAGTGAAAATGTATTTGTCCAATGTTATTTTAATAGCACCAGAGTGAACTTGCATGTTTCTGCCCTAATGTAAGAACGACGGTAATAAACATAAACATTGTCTGTATGCTTGACTTATTCCCAGGATGTCTATGCGCTGCGACATCTTTATATTTTGTGAACCCGTGAAGATCCGTGTTGGAACAGGTCTTCAGCAACCCTTGCTTGCCGTAAGAGGCGACTATGCTTGTCGTAAAAGTCTGACTTGATTGATGCATGTCATATTCCATCTTCCCGAGGCAAGAGATTTAACTGACTTTAAAAGTCCACTTTCCACCCTTGCCGAACTAGGCTGGAATTCCTGGGCTCGATCGTAGCGCCACCAGTGGCTGTTACAAGTTATGTCCTTTCTATGCCTCTCCTATTGACCAATCAGATTCAATCTCTCGTATCACTTGCATTTGCTTCAAACAAAACGGTGGCGCCCAGTCAAGACGATGTGATCGATAATCAAGATCTATATTGTGATAAAACGAGTCTTACATCGCGAAGTGCATCAAATCACCTGAGCACCTTGATTAAAAACAGGAAAAGATTTAAAAAATATCTGTTGACAACGAGTTAGCGGTGCACATGCTTTGCAAATCCTGCAGTCGACCGAAATCTGCATGACACTTTACGAACCGGATTTCGATTTCGGTGCGCGATTTTGATTGGACTATGCATAGACTCGTTAGTCCAGCCAAGATGTAACTCCATAATACCAGCCTAGTTCGGCAAGGGTGGAAACTGGACTTTTAAAGTCAATTAACTCACTTGCCTCGGGAAGATGGTCATATTCTATGCTCATGATATCAATCACTGGATTGTCTGGTGAAGACTCGATTATTTACAGACCGCCGTCATATAGTTGGAATATTGCTGAGTGCAGCGTTAAACAACAAACAAACAAACAAAGCAAAAATGAAATGGTGACCTGAACTTCCTCTATTCATTGAGTCGGTATGTATTTCAGCTGAACGAGAGTGTCCTCCTGTTTCTCAAGCAAATCTCAAACAGGTAATAACGACGCAATACTCGCCGGACTTTGATTAGTTGAATACACATAGAAAGTAATATATCCATTTGAAGTACTTCTCAGTCCTTGAAATATAATTGTCTATATTTAGTTAGATAACATATAACATGCTACATCGATGACCCAGCACGTGGACAGGTGCTCCCCATTCGTGACCAACTCGTGTTATTCCGGGACAAGCCATTCGTGACCAACTCGTGTTAGTTCGGGACAAGCCGAATAGCGACTCGTGCCCCTCTCATGACCATTTTTGCGACCGGGTTCCGTCTTACTGCAAACGGGCATACCCAAAACAATTTTCAACTCGTTGCGTAATGGTTCACATATTATTTCCCCATGTATTATATATATTTCAGATGCAATTTAAAGCACATTGAGACGTGCGGAATTATACAGTATGATTGAACACATTTAACTGTGTCTTGGGTATATTTTAAGATGCAAGACATATGTAAAATCAAAAATTATTTCTGACGAAGAACTTAAAATTATACGCGCATTCTGATTGGTTTGTCGTATTTTCGCACATAACATTCATCGATAGGTCACGGAAAGGGGCGAGTGGTGACGAATGAAGCCGAATAGCAGTTACGGAAAGGGGCGAGTGGTGACGAATGATATACATGTATGCATAGGGTGCTGGCTCGCTGAATACAATGTTTATTCCTCATGCAGGATTTTTACCATTCCCAAACACACTCGCGTGATAACCTCTATTGACACGTGTACCAGAATTAGAACAGATTACAAAGATAAACCACTCCCAACTGCAGACAGAGCATACGCACTAGTCTCGTCCTATACAGAGAACAGGTAAGAACGTTGGCTAGCGTTGTGGAATTTCAAGACCGTACAATGTGTATTACTTCGCCAGTATAGAACAGTTATCATTATCATTGTGATTGTACATACTTCTCCCGGAGATACCCGAAGGTTTGACAGTCAGATGGGATTAAGTAGGTCTTAAACTCCGTTATAGGTTTATCAAAGGTACTTTGTTTAGCCCACCAGATCTGCATAATTGAGGATCAGCAAAATGTTTAGAAATTGACTTAAAGGTTTTTAGATGTCTTCATGTAGATGAGAAACTTCTTTTTCCGACATTTGCATATTTTGGATTTGCGAAAACACTCAATGTGCCAAAAATACTTTTAGGTTTTCGGGAATTTGGAATGATATTTTCTCATATTTTACCACGAGCAAGTCCCTGAGCCAAGTTTCCAGATGCTGCTGTAGATGTTGCTGCAGCTGTGGATGTAGCTATAGCTGTAGATGTAGATTGTAAATTAAACATATGTTACACCCATGTTTAATGGTAGCTATAAATGAAACATTCAAGAAATGGTTGTTCGATGGTAATGTGACACGAGTATCAAAGTTGTGTTTGGAACTTTAATTTTGCAATGTTTCTGTGACTGTATTCAGCCTCGTAACGTTTTGATAACATTTGTATTTTTGGGGTTAAATCCAATTTTCAAGTATATACTTGCAGTTTATTTGATCTTCGTAGGGCATCAGGGTTCATATTTGATCTTCGTAGGGCATCCCGTTCATACCTGATCTTCGTAGGGCATCCCGTTCATATTTAATCTTCGTAGGGCATCCCGTTCATATTTGATCTTCGTAGGGCATCCCGTTCATATTTGATCTTCGTAGGGCATCCCGTTCATATCTGATCTTCGTAGGGCATCCCGTTCATATTTGATCTTCGTAGGGCATCCCGTTCATATTTGATCTTCGTAGGGCATCCCGTTCATATTTGATCTTCGTAGGGCATCCCGTTCATATTTGATCTTCGTAGGGCATCCCGTTCATATTTGATCTTCGTAGGGTATCCCGTTCATATTTGATCTTCGTAGGGCATCCCGTTCATATTTGATCTTCGTAGGGCATCGCGTTCATATTTGATCTTCGTAGGTCATCACCGGTCCGAGTCAAGGGAATTAACCTCACTATAAAAGTCCAGTTTCCACCCTTGCCGAACACTTGGCTGGAATTATGGCACAGTTAGGCAAAGAAAATCGCCTAACGAAATCGACACCCGGTTCGTAAACTGTCGTGCAGACTTTGGTCGATCGCAGGATTTGCAAAACAATTGTACCGTTAACTTAACGTCAACAGATATTTGCCAAATCTTTTCATGTTTTCTCAAGGTCCTCACGTGAGCAGATGCACTTCGCGAAGTAAGACCCGTTTTATTACAATATAGATCTCAATATCAATATATATATGAACGTGAAGACCTACGAAGATCAATATGATTATCGATCAGATCGTCTTTACTGGACAACGCCATTTAGTTTGAAGTAAATGCAAGTGATATGAGAAGTGGAATCTGATTGGTCAATAGGAGGGATTCGTAATAGCCACTGGTGGCGCTACGATCGAGCCCAGAAATTCCAACCTAGTTCAGCAGGATGGAAACTGGACCTTCAAAGTCAGTTAACTCCCTTGCCTAGGGAAGATGGGGCTGTGTGTAACCAGTGAATGAGTGTGGTTTTACGCCGCTTTTAGCAATATTCCAGCAATATCACGGCGGGGGACACCAGAATTGGGCTTCACACATTGTACCCATGTTGGGAATCGAACCTGGGTCTTCGGCGTGACGAGCGAACGCTTTAATCACAAGGCTACCCGACCGCCCCCTGTGTGTAACAAAAAAAAGTTCAATGTTGACTGGAATGACTGTTGGTTCTGCGAGATGTATATGACTCGATGACTGTGTATATCTTGAATGCATTCATCACCGAGGTCGGGGCACGGGTGGCCAAGTCGTCTAAGGTGCCGCGATTTGCTGTGCAGAGTTACGTCCCTTGGGCACGCCAGAAACCTATGATTGTGGGTTCGAATCCCGGTTCGCCCCGATTATGTTTCTAGGTTTGTCAGCACCACACCCGTGCTCGTGGGTTTCACCGAAGTTGTAAACGTCTAAGACCTGCATCACTTCGGGCTTTCCTCCCACATTAAGCTGACACGTCGTGATATAACTGGAATAATGTTAAAAGCGGCGTTAAACCCAACTCACTCACTCATCACCGAGGTCACCTTGTTCCGTCAGCTGGGATGTTGCTGTTGCTGTTGGCCGCGATCCTAGGGGTGACTTCCGCTGTCACTGATATCAAAATCACCGGCCACTGGGAGGGAGGCTTCAATGGTCAGTTCTGCATCACGCTGACAGAAGAGTTGCATGGTTGGAAGGCTCATCTCGTGTTTGACCATGAGGTCAAGTCACTACAAGTAGGTAGCCTGGTCAGGTTGGCCTGGAGTAGTTCACACTTTCAATATGTTTACGAACCGTGAAGATCCGGCGTAGAATAGGTCTTCAGCAACCCATGCTTATCATAAAAGGCGTCTATGCCCTGCCGTAAAAGGTGACTAACAGGATCGGGGGTCAGGCCCGCTGACTTAGTTGATGCATGTCATCGTATCCCAATTGCGCGGACCGATGCTAATGATGTCAATCACAGGATTGTCTGGTCCAGACGAGATTATTTACAGACCGCCGTCATATAGCTGGAATATTGCTGAGTGTGGCGTTAATCAATAAACAATCATTATGTTAATGAATGAGTGAGTGAGTGATTGAGTCGGGTTAACGCCGCAGTATTTCACAGCGCGTCTGCTTAATGGGGGAGCAAAACCCGAAGGGATGAAACTGTTTCATAATTTTGAATAAATAAACTTCAACACGGGTTGGTACTGACAAATCAAGGATCATTTAGTGTGAATCCTGGATTTAAACCCCTGATGATAGGATCTTGACGCACCCAAGGTACGCAACTTTTGGTGAATAGCGGTCAGCCGTGAGTCCGTGGATAGCATCTACCCTGGGCCAGAGAATCGGAATTATATGTCAGTATTTACATGTTTTGGCCGTTATCAATGACATTTTTAACTACGAACATTGGCATTTGTGTCGCTATAAAGACACACACTGGTCACCTGGAGCCTTGTCCACCCCTATGGTAACAGATGAATCTTGGGGACATTGGTCATCTCGATGACAAGGGTTATTAACTAGGACATTGGTAACATAAATTGCAGTTAATTGTTGATCACAATCGACCTTATTGGTCATGGACCATTTGTGCCTTGGACCGCCTCCGTGGTCTAGTGGTAGAGCGTCCGCCTGGAAAGCGGAAGGTCCGAGGTTCGATCCCCAGCCGCTTCATACCAAAAGACGTTTAGAGATGGTACTTGTTGTTACCCTGTCTGGCGCTCGGCATTAAGGGGCTAAAGCAAGGACTGGTTTACTCGGAGTCAGTATACTGTGTCTGAGTGAGGTATTCATGTTAGTCTGCAGCATGGTATCTCAGTAGGCTTGCACCATAAAATCTGCATTAGTCCGGACAAGTACAAGCAGCCACACACACACACACACACACACACACACACACACACACACACGTGCATGCGCGGTGCTTTATAAGTGCAATAATCTTAGACGCGACGTTAAACCCCATTTAATAATAATAATAATAACAGATTTATATAGCGCTGGTATCCAGTTCGAAGAACTGCTCAAAAGCGCTTCATTTGAGTCTACACACAAAAAGAGACATTACACATCTAGGAAAACACACCTCAACTAACCGTTTGCGCCTTACTAACAAGCATCGATTACAGTGACCTTAAAACGATAAGCACCCAATACGGCACCGTGAGCCATCTTTAGAATAAATATTTCATTTACACATCAATTGGATTCATTGGGTCTGGTTAGTGCTGTCGTGGTTTTGTTTACCCAAGTGACCTATACATGTACTACCGGTTTGATGACCTCTCGAATGTTTTAGTGAATCCGTTGAATATGTTGTCCAGCAAGCTGGTGTTGTTTGAGGCTAAATGAAGTCACACGTTTGAAGGTCAGTACGGCGGACATCGTGGAGACGCGCGACAACAACAAAGAATTCATCCTCAAGAACAAGGACTGGAACAAGGATGAACAGGCGGGACAACAACTGTGCGTCAACTTCATGGGCACGACTGACGGCAACGTCGACATGAGAGGCACCGTGTTCATTGAGAACATTCACGGATCCGCGACATCTTCGCCGACACAGCAGCCCCCGATAACACAGCCGACGCAGCAGCCTGTTCAGACACAACAGCCAGTCACGTCCGGTCCGGTCACGTCCGCTCCGGTCACGTCTGCAGGCCAGACACAAGCACCCGGTAATAGTGTTGAAACTCGTCCTGGGATTTAAGTTAGAGACAAGATTTGTTTTGGTTACTGCTTCAAAACATGCAATTATTTTTCTGTGATGCATTTTTTTTCACGACACATTATTTTCAGAACGCCCGGTATGCCTTGCGAACTAAGACCTTAGAACAAATTATTTGTTTCTTACTCAAACCAGCCTTTCATAAAGCGACCATTAGTGTTCCACGCCTCGGGGGCAAGACGCCATTTCTATCCAGTGTGATATATGTCTTTAGTATGGAACGGTGCTTAAAAGTGTTTCTCGGGCACGTGTTTCTGAAAAGTGAGGAGGGACGTTGATCTTTTTATTTGTTTAAAACAAAAGTAATGGGGGAGGAAAACCCTTTTTTAATTACTTCTTTTCAAACACAAATACTAACAAACATGACTGGACACACTTTGAGCTCTTGAAAACAATGTCAAGCAAGCATATCATTTTATGAAAAACAAAGCACGCTTAACATGACGAAATGTTTGAAAAATATTTTTTTGTTGGCTATATAAATGACTGAAGCGCGCTTTCCGATGAGCGTTTTTAAGCCCAAACTTTCCAAATGTTAAAACTAGAGGACCAGGATGCTGAGGCATTGTTTGGTACTAGACTGAATTCTTTTTTCACTGTTTAAGTACAAACCGGAAGTAGCACCGCCAAGTACGACTACCGGAAAGCGCTGGGTCTCTCAATTCTCTTTTACGACGCCCAACGATCTGGCAAACTTCCGGCTAATAACCCCATCCCTTGGCGAGGTGATTCCGCACTTGGAGACAAAGGAGATAATGGCGAGGACCTCACAGGCGGCTGGTATGATGGTAAGGAGTGAATGGGTGTTCGCTTGAATTCATCCGCGCAGTGCAGTCATGATGACTTTTAGTGAGTAAGTATGGTTTTACGACGCTTTTAGCAATATTCCAGAAATATCACGGCGGGGGACACCAGAAATGGGCTTCACACATTGTACCAATGTCGGGAATCGAACCCGGGTCTTCAGCGTGACGAGCGAACGCTTAACCACTAGGCTACCCGACCGCCCCGTGATGACTTTTAAGATTTATAAGGCATGGACGGCTTGGGGCTCGCATCTCTATACGGTGTCATGACAAACAAAAGTGTAAGGACGTCGATTCAAGATGTATGACAATATAACACCCTGTTGAAAAAATCGATTCTTGACCAGACAATCCATTGATCATATCATGAACGTCGATCCACCTCTTATGACCAGCAGGGGGCACGGGTGGCCCAGTCGTCTAAGGCGCCGCGATTCGCTATGCAGAGTTGCACGCCAGAAACCTATGATTGTGGGTTCGAATCCCGGTTCGCCCCGATTATGTTTCTAGGTTTGTCAGCACCCTACCCGTGCTCGTGGGTTTCACCGAAGTGGTAAACGTCTGACCTGCATCCCTTCGGGCTTTCCTCCCACATTAAGCTGACACGCCGTGATATAACTGGAATATTGTTAAAAGCGGCGTTAAACCCAACTCACTCACTCACTCTTATGACCAGCATATGTTTCTGGGGACCTGTCTAGGCTTGAATCCCAATGGTTTTGAAGGAGGAGTTATGGGAAAGTGTTGGTTTGTACCTAAATGTACGCTGGTTGGGTTGTTGTCATTTGGTACCCATCAACTAGTAATTTAACGACCTTCTGTCAGTTGTAAAATATATGAACTGGACTCAATCAGCTCACGCGAGAAGAAGAATGAAAGGGTCTTGGTTTAAAGCTGCTTTTAACATGATCACAATCGAGGGATACAAAGAACAGATTTCACACATTGTAGGCCTGTGAGGAATCGAACCAGGACCTTTGGCGTTATGGAAAAAAGATCCATTTAACCACAATGCTACCCAGCCGCCCAATAGAAGGGTTACGGAATGAGTAAGGGTTTACGTCATCAGTAAAAGTCTATCAATAATACAGCGGGGGTCAGAAATGACGAACCCAGGCCTTCAGCGCCAGGAGAGAAAGCTTTACCCACAAGGCTACACGACATGATGATGATGATGATGATGATGATGATGGTGATTTACATTTTCAGCCGGCGACCACGTCAAGTTTAGCCTCCCCATGTCGTCCTCCGCGTTCATCCTGGCCTGGGGACTGTCTGTGTGGAAAGATGGCTACACGGCCGCTGGTCAGCTTGACCAAATGTACGACATGTTGAGGTGGCCGCTGGACTACTTCCTCCGGTGCTGGATCCCGTCCAAGGAGGAATACTACATACAGGTCAGACTTACATACAGGTCATTCACTCTGTCTCTACTGAGAAGGCACCCGGCGGTGTATAACGTGATTTTTATTTCATTGCAAGAACGTTTGATAACTGATCCCATTTATTTAACGGCATTATCCCTGTACATTGAAATCCCGTTAACCCGCATACCTTACTGACGCCAAACGTATTTATTGATAACGGAAAACTAATTAATATGATGCTATGGACTATATACATATAAATGGCCTTGATCATTGGCGGTGGGTAGCCTAATGGTTAAAGCGTTCTCTCGTCACGCCGAAGACCCGGGTTCGATTCCCAACATGGGAAAAATGTGTGAAGCCCATTTCTTGTGTCCCCAGCCGTGATACTTCTGGAATAGTGCTGAAAACGGCGTAAAACCATACTCACTCACCCCTAATCGATCACTATGTAGCCACCACATCAACCATCAAGACATACCCTCGATTAGCTTTAGTTATTATTTATTAAATATGATCACATGATATGATCACAAAGCTTTGTTTCTTTTGATGGCTAGTATATAATTGGTGTGCTACTGTTTTAATCTGATCAGCAAGCTGCACCTATTAAGGTTGATATACCAACGTTTGTCTCAACGTTTTTTCATAGAAACAAACAAGTCCCTTTAAATTGAAAAGGAGCCCAAGTGAGATTGGATATTTAGAACCTGAACCTGAGGTAAAACTAGACTTGCTTCAATACAGTAGGGCTAGGCGGAAGGGAAAAATAATATTATTCAGGGACTGGGAGACAGACTTAGTTGATATGTAAACCGTTATTTTACGATCATATGTTTGGTTATGAAAATACAGTAAACTACGGTTATAACGAACTCAAAGGGACCTCTAATTTTAGTTCGTAATAACCGAAGTTCGTTATAAGCATACATACAGCATATATACAAGAAATGACCGGGACTAAAAAATAAGTTCGTTATATCCGTCAGTTCTTTATAAACGTGTTCGTTTTAAACGTCGTTTACTGTAATTATTAAAATAAGCAAGCAATCCATGGCACATCCTGCAGGTGGGAGACGGGGGCCCCGACCATGCATACTGGGGCAGACCGGAAGACATGACCATGGCTCGCCCTGCTTTCAAGCTAACGGCTAGTAAACCCGGAAGTGACGTATCGGCTGAGACGGCTGCTGCCTTTGCTATGGGGTCTGTCGTCTTTAAAGACAAAGGTACGATATTACAGGTAGCCATTTTAATACAATACTTATGTGCACAGTAGGGCTGGGACAGGTAACTCGGGTACTCGGGTCGGGTGGGTCCTGAGTAGGACCCGGGTACCCACATGACTACCCGGACCCGTGGTTAGTCACGTGATATACTGCAATGACATTAACAATGAAACTCAATGGTTACACAACAAGTATAGCTAATGTTCACATTTCTTTCTCATTATGCAAGCATTCAACTTTTATATGTTCGAGTAAGGATAAAGCGTCTGTCAACTGCAGTTTATGCATGATCAGATCGTTTTATACATGTATCTAAATAGTTTTTGCCAGGGCTGCGGTAAAACAATTCCCATTCGGACATTTTGTACCCAACTCTTGCGACCTATAGCAGGTATTACCCGGGTAGGGCCGGGTAATAGTGTGTCGAGTACCCGGTTAGTAAATGTGGACTCGTCCCAGCCCTAGTGCACAGAGCGAAGGGCGGCAGATAACTGATCCGAATACCAAAGAATATCCCCAGAAGGGAGCAGGTAGAACGTGTCGTGAGACAGATCAACGAAACACATGGGGTCGAGGGTCGAAATGGATGTAAGTACTGAATTTAATAAAATCTCTGAAAAATAGTGTCAAGATCAAGATGTCATTGTACTGGAGGCCTCCGGCCCATATACAAACCAAGAATACGTGAGTGAGTGTGTTGGGTTTAACGCCGCTTTTAACAGTATTCCAGTTATCACGGCGTGTCAGCTTAATGTGGGAGGAAAGCCCGAAGTGATGCAGGTCTTGGACGTTTACCACTTCGGTGAAACCCACGAGCACGGGTATGGTGCTGACAAACCTAGAAACATAATCGGGGTGAACCGGGATTCGAACCCACAATCATAGGTTTCTGGCGTGCCCAAGGGACGCAACTCTGCACAGCGAACGCGGCGCCTTAGACGACTGGGCCACCCGTGCCCCCTACAAAACAGGAGAATAAAGGTACAATATCAGTGAGTACAACACAGGTACAGAGACGTGCGACATACAATACACCTGTGCAGATAATGTAACAAAGTGGGTGTACACAATTAGTTTACGAAGTGACGTCACGATACTTAGAACATATTTCACCGACAAAGTGCATGGTAAACAAATAGTGCTAACCTAAGAATTGTTTTTCCATTCTTGAGTTCAAAAGATTTACATGAATACAAATTTGGTAAACGCAGACATTTCTTTGGGATCTATGCTTCACTTAAATCAGTATTAACAGTAAAAACAGTATATCAAATTCATCCTCTATGCAAGTTTGACAGAAAGGCACAATCTCATTGGTTTCAGTATAGAACGCTGTCGACCAATGCTAACCATTTTCCCGAGGCAAGGGAGTTAACTGACTATATAAGTCCAGTTTCCACCCTTGCCGAACTAGGCTGGAATTCCGGAGTTACATTTTGTCTGGATTAACGAGTCTATGCCTAGCCCAATCAAAAACGAAATCGACATGCGGCGCGTAAAACTGCCGAAACATCCGGTTCGTAAACAACATGGATTTAAACGTGCAGATTTCCGTCGACTGCAGGGGTTGCAAAGCAAGTGTATCGTCAATTTGGCGTCGTCAGATATTTTGCAAATCTTTTGATGTTTTAATCAAGGTATTGAAGTGATCTGATTCACTTCGCCGGGTGTGACCCGTTTTATTACAGTATAGATCTTGATTATTGATCAGATCGTCTTGACTGGGCGCCGCCATTTTGTTTGAAGCAAATGCAAGTGATATGAGCGACGAAATCTTATTGGTCATTGAGGGACACAGAAGGGACATAACTCGTAATAGCCACTTGTGACGCTACGATCGAGCCAAGAAATTCTTTCGAATTCCGGCAAGGCTGGAAACTGGGCTTTCATAGTCAGTTAACTCCCTTGCCTCGGGGAGATGATGCTAACTTACAGACATTTGCATGTGATAACGTTTGAATACAATTCAGGTTCAGTTAGCGATTTAAAAGATCTATACATGGCATATCTGGAACTGTTTTCAAGTGACGAACTGAAGTCCCGATGAAAAATAGTGACTTTCTTTGAAATAATCTTTAAAAAATCCTGTTTATTACTCTTTTAAACCGATGTAACAGCTGAACGTCGTGTTCCCCCTGTCAAACAATATCGTACATTAATTCGCAAATATAAGATGAGAATTAAATTGGACTTAATAAGCAGCCTTGTTCAAACTGAAACCGTCCTTTTTAGGGGACCGTTTATACCTAGAATTGTTACGGGGAATTAACTCCGGGATCTCCACGCCTTCAAAAACAGACAGAGAGGTTTTCAGGCGAAATGCAGGAGTGTTTATTATATGTGACGTCAAAAGGGCAACAACATACATTCAACATCATCTCAGCATTCTATTTCATAGTTTAGACATCATAATAAGCAATTAAATAGTACAGCATTAAGATATTGAAATCAATAATTAAGAATGATAATGAGTTACATCATTACAGTATAGTAAAATATTTTCTGGTGCCTTGTTGAATGTCGGATTAACGGGACTAAATAGTACTGAATCAATCGGTTCCCATCATTTGTGTCGGATAAAGCCGAGTGTCGGATTAACGAGTGTCGGATTAACGAGACTTGACTGTATAACAATGATTACATAGTTGTAACCAGGGTAACTGCGGCACAGATACCTGGGGCTTAAGCCGGGCGTCACGGTACGTGCACCACGTGAACAATGGCTGGCGGCCAAGCGTGCGTTGAACCGTAGCCTTTACTCTAACGAGGTAACTGCCGACCTTACTTCAAGATAATGATGATTAAACATTTTAACACTAATCAAATCTTCTGACGTTTACCAATTATAAGTAAATAACTTCTAACATGAGAAACAGTTTATATAAGAAATGCTGGATATTGTATTGTAACTCTTATCTACTAGACTGCCACTGAATTGCCTGTATCTTTATAGACTATTCTACGATATGAAACACAAAATCAACCGGCGCTTCACGATAGTGCGGATGCACTTATGTGATAAATAGTTAAAAGACATTGCCGAATCTGTGCGTATTTAGCTACGGAAACAGTGTTACTTTTCGTGTATTGTGTTCTAGACATATACGGTCACATAAATACATACATTTAGCTGCCGATGCTATGCTACTCATTATATTGAAACAAGAAATGTTTCCCGTGAAAATACAAACAGTGAGACGAATAACATGACCAGAAATATAAATGCAGATAATAGAACACGTTGACCACCAAGTCACTTGATACAGAAACGTTATACACGTTGAACATAATGTTTAATAAGCATCCACGCCCTCCATAACTAAAATGGCGTAATATGTTAGATTGATACTAAAACGACTGGAATACTAACGCTAGTATCTTATCCGGGACGCTCTAATGCTCAGTATAGTATTAGATTTCTAGATGAACTGTATGGAATTAACATATAGCAGCCAAATCGTAGATTTTGAACAATCCTTTTTGATTAACTGTAACATAAGTTCATTGTACCAGCAGAGTAACAAAGTTAGAATTATTTACAGCACGTTTAACAAAAATGGCAAAGTAATAAGTAAAAGTAACTTACCTTCAAAAACAGACAGAGAGGTTTTCAGGCGAAATGCAGGAATGACTCTATGCCAAGATACCCCTGCATTTATACCTGAGACCTCCAGTCCACGTTTGAAAGCATGTCACTACCCTACCTATGTTATCCCACTCATGTATGCCCTTGTTGTTACTGTTAATCCTCTACTGTTAATCCTCCACTTGCTATATATATTCTGCACTATGTCCCTCATTCAGTCTTGCTTGACAACGGTATAAGGATCTATACCGAAACGTCGCTTTTTACAGTATTAAAGAAGTTGTTATCCATAAAATTGTGTCTATCTTGTCATCCGCCAACTTCTAAGTAATGCCTATCAAACAAGATGTCACTACCCGTCTGTCCAGTTTGGAATTGATAACAATGGTTTCCCACATGGTGGTCAAATTATGCAAGTTTTGACGTGCTGACTTGCTTAGTTAATTGTTTATTGGTTTATTGGTTTATTGGTCAGCCGGGTCTAGAATTTCTATAGCGCTAGCCGATTAGCATCTGCCAGCTCGTTTGACTGGTTTCGACAGCTTGCATCTCCAAGCGTTACGTATTATGATAGGCGTCCTGTAAACTATGTAGCGTTTACTGGCTTGGGAATGTGAAACTTAAAGTAGAAGAATATATTTGATTTTGATAAAACTTGAAGAAAAATATGATGATTTTCGCACTGTTATAAAACCAAGAGGTCAATATAAAAAAGTCTGTTCCCTGACCATCAAGGGACGTTACTAAGACGTTACGAAGTCTACTATTCAGTGAGATTCCTCTATAGTTATCTGGATTATTACGATCCCCCTTTTTGTTGAGAGGTACAATTATAGATTTCAACCACATATTTCGACCACGGCCACTTGAATATATATCATTAAGTGTCATTTCCTTGGAACAATAGAGGCATTTCAACAAGAAGATTATCTAGTCTATGGGACTTTTCATTCTTAAGAGAATAAATTGCATCAATAATTTCCTCAACAGTGATATTGACATCAAGAATACTTCGATCAATGTCAGTGTAATGCTCATGACAACATATATCTGTGTCTGTATCAGAACTGGCTAAGTTCTCAAACATATCAGCAGTATGGATGACATCTGTGAAATGAGTTAACCATTCGGTGGGATAAATTTTGCAATTGTTATATGACTTTAAGTATATATTTTGATTCCCTTTCAAAATTTAGTAGGGCTACCCAGAGTTATTCATGCATAATGTATCAATTTTATGTTGCCGAACTTAAAAAATTATAACTACATGTTTGCTTATATACTGAACCGCAAAAGAAACGTTACCCCAAGTAACATTGCATGAAAAGTTGTCATTTAAATATCTGGGTATTTTTTGTCAAAGTTTCTAAAATTTAACACTACCTTGTCCGGAAAAGGAAATTTGATGATAAAAAACCCAAAGCAGATGACAATAGAACCGATCGCCCAAACGCATCACGGCAACGGCCATGGTAACCCGATGCACGAGAGTTCCGTGCAAATTGAATTGCACATGCGTTCCCCAATTTCGTGCCCTATAAAAATCCACCCAGATCGGATAACATTCATTCGTTATTGAATTGCTACCACATGCCAATATCGACAAGAAATCAGCGACACCAATGCATTTCTAGTCCACGTAAGGACCATATACAGGGTCCAGCAACGATACCAGACCACCAACACTACAGATGACCGACCATGAAGTGGGAGACCAAGGGTCACCACCCGACGTCTAGATCGTCAGATTTAGCGACAGCATCTTAAAGATCGATTTGTTACTGCTGTGGAAACTGCTCGACAGACCATGGGGACACACCAGCGACACATTAGTGCGGACACCGTGCGACGACGATTAACGAGCAGACACCTCCACTGTCCGCTGTGTTGTTGAGAGAGACTCGTGGGGTGGTCCGAACATCATGGTGTGGGGTGGAATTGGTCTTGCACAGAGGGTCGGCCCTGTGGTTTTCCAGAACATCGGTCCAGGGAGAGGCAATGGTGTCACAGCAGCTCAGTACATTGATCAAGTCTTGAGACCACTAGCCATATCTCATTTGGCACGTCGCCGCAACCACGAGTTTCAGCATGATAACACCCGTGCCCACACTGCGAGAGACTTCCTCCAGCAGAATGGCATCAGAACCATGCAGTGGCCTGCCCTCAGTCCCGATTTAAATCCCATTGAGCACCTATGGGACGGGTTTCAAAGACGGCTGAATGACGTCCGACCAAGGCCGACAACTGCAGCTGAACTGCGTCAGGCGTTCCTCAGAGTATGGGCTCAAGTGCCCATGACCTTCATCAACCGCCTCATCCATTCCATGAATCGACGTTGCACGGCAGTCATCAATGCACATGGCACACACGAGATACTGACTTGTGATGCCATTTTCTCAGAGACTAGTGTTGTGTTTCACTATAAGAACATTTTACACTATAATTTCAACCTTGATGATCAGTTTTGCCAAGTTTCATCTTTATAATATGTCTCAAAGTATGTTTACAGTGTTTGGACAAATAAGGTTTCTCATATATCTATCATTGGTGACGTTTTTTTGCGGTTCAGTTTATTTACTCCTAACAGTACAATATTGTTTTCTGTAATGTTCATTTCCTTGTCGTCTGAACTGTCGATTGAAAATAGAGAAAAAAAACTGGACTTGTCAAATATTTACTTTTGTTTCCATATTTGCAATATATGTTTTTTATAACGAATATGAGTTAGTCTACCATTTGTGAAATGTCCACGGGTTCCCTTCACCAAGTAATATATATGTGCGCGCGTGCGTGCGTGTGTGTGTGTAGCATGTGTGCAGCGATTCTGTAGCCAGTGTTAGAGTTCATTGACGTTATTTAAGGCCATTAAAAATAGTTTTGTTTCTCGTGACGTTTTTCCCCAAAACTAACTGAATATGCAGAGGCGGTTATACGTTACAAAGGTATTGATAAACGTCCCTCTGTTTTACCACCATACCTCTTTTGGACCTGCCACGTGAGGCTCGAAGTATGAAGAAAGTTATAAAATGTTGGATCTGGTGGAAAAACGAAATTTCAAACATGTTGAAAAGTACTCTTTTTTATCTTGCTTAAAATATTATAAAGAAGAGAAATTAGGGTTGGGAGCATATTTAGCTTCAGTACATCCCAGCACATTGAATCATTTATCTGCGGGGAACTCTAAGAATGTACATTTACTATTTGCGGTATATTATCAAGATCAACACGTGATCCAGTGACGATGTCGCTGGTATTGATGGGCCTCCCGTGTTCTGGTAACGTTATGAAACCATGTTATTATCTTGAAGACCCGGCATTCTCCGCCAAGCTGCTAGATGCTGCCAAAACTCTGTACGACTTCGCCAAGAAGTACCAGGGAATCTACAGCAACAGCGTTAACCAGGCCGCCGGATACTACAGGTAAAGCTGGGATTCCATAGGTACGGATTCCTTAGCTGGGATTGCATAGGTACGGATTCTTCAGCTGGAATTGCAGAGGTACGGATTCCTTAGCTGGGATTGCATAGGTACGGATTCTTCAGCTGGAATTGCATAGGTACGGATTCCTTAGCTGGGATTGCATAGGTACGGATTCTTCAGCTGGATTGCATAGGTACGGATTCCTTAGCTTGGATTCCATAGGTACGGATTGATAAGCTGGGATTCCATAGGTACGGATTCTTCAGCTGGAATTGCATAGGTACGGATTGTTTAGCTGGGATTCCATAGGAACGGATTGTTAAGCTGGGATTGCATAGGTACGGATTGATAAGCTGGGATTGCATAGGCACGGATTGTTAAGCTGGGATTCCATAAGTACGGATTGTTAAGCTGGGATTGCATAGGCACGGATTGTTAAGCTGGGATTCCATAAGTACGGAATGGTAAGCTGGGATTGCATAAGTACGGATTGTTAAGCTGGGATTCCATAGGTACGGATTGATAAGCTGGGATTGCATAGGTACGGAATGGTAAGCTGGGATTCCATAGGAGGATTGTTAAGCTGGGATTGCATAGGTACGGATTGTTAAGCTGGGATTGCATAGGTACGGATTGTTAAGCTGGGATTTCATAGGTACGGATTGTTAAGCTGGGATTGCATAGGTACGGATTGTTAAGCTGGGATTCCATAGGCACGGATTGTTAAGCTGGGATTGCATAGGTACGGATTGTTAAGCTGGGATTTCATAGGTACGGATTGATAAGCTGGGATTGCATAGGTACGGAATGGTAAGCTGGGATTCCATAGGAGGATTGTTAAGATGGGATTCCATAGGCACGGATTGTTAAGCTGGGATTCCATAAGTACGGATTGTTAAGCTGGGATTGCATAGGTACGGATTGTTAAGCTGGGACTTCATAGGTACGGATTGTTAAGCTGGGACTTCATAGGTACGGATTGTTAAGCTGGGACTTCATAGGTACGGATTGTTAAGCTGGGATTCCAAAGGTACGGATTGTTAAGCTGGGATTGCAAAGCAGAGTTTCGTCCCTCGCTCGGGCCAGACACGTACAAAAATCGGTTTATTATGTTTCTAGGTTTGTCAGCATCACAACCCTGCTCGTTGTTCTCACAAAAAGCCGGGCTTACATGTCTCTACTGATTTCCATGTCTCTACTGATTTCCTTGTCTCGACTGATTTCCATGTCTCTACTGATTTCCATGTCTTTACTGATTTCCATGTCTCTACTGATTTCCATGTCTCTACTGATTTCCATGTCTTTACTGATTTCCATGTCTTTTCTGATTTCCATGTCTCTACTGATTTCCATGTCTTTACTGATTTCCATGTCTTTACTGATTTCCATGTCTTTACTGATTTCCATGTCTCTACTGATTTCCATGTCTTTACTGATTTCCATGTCTTTTCTGAGTTCCATGTCTTTACTGATTTCCATGTCTCTACTGATTTCCATGTCTTTACTGATTTCCATGTCTCTACTGATTTCCATGTCTCTACTGATTTCCATGTCTCTACTGATTTCCATGTCTTTACTGATTTCCATGTCTTTACTGATTTCCATGTCTTTTCTGATTTCCATGTCTCTACTGATTTCCATGTCTTTACTGATTTCCATGTCTCTACTGATTTCCATGTCTTTACTGATTTCCATGTCTTTTCTGATTTCCATGTCTTTACTGATTTCAATGTCTTTACTGATTTCCATGTCTTTATTGATTTCTATGTCTTTTCTGATTTCCATGTCTTTACTGATTTCCATGTCTTTACTGATTTCCATGTCTCTACTGATTTCCATGTCTTTACTGATTTCCATGTCTCTACTGATTTCCATGTCTTTACTGATTTCCATGTCTCTACTTATTTCCATGTCTCTACTGATTTCCATGTCTTTACTGATTTCCTTGTCTCTACTGATTTCCATGTCTCTACTGATTTCCATGTCTCTACTGATTTCCATGTCTCTACTGATTTCCATGTCTCTACTGATTTCCTTGTCTCTACTGATTTCCATGTCTCTACTGATTTCCATGTCTTTACTGATTTCCATGTCTCTACTGATTTCCATGTCTCTACTGATTTCCATGTCTTTACTGATTTCCATGTCTCTACTGATTTCCATGTCTCTTCTGATTTCTATGTCTTTACTGATTTCCATGTCTCTACTGATTTCCATGTCTTTACTGATTTCCATGTCTCTACTGATTTCCATGTCTTTACTGATTTCCATGTCTTTACTGATTTCCATGTCTCTACTGATTTCCATGTCTTTACTGATTTCCATGTCTTTACTGATTTCCATGTCTCTACTGATTTCCATGTCTTTACTGATTTCCATGTCTCTACTGATTTCCATGTCTTTACTGATTTCCATGTCTCTACTGATTTCCATGTCTTTACTGATTTCCATGTCTCTACTGATTTCCATGTCTTTACTGATTTCCATGTCTTTACTGATTTCCATGTCTCTACTGATTTCCATGTCTTTACTGATTTCCATGTCTTTACTGATTTCCATGTCTTTACTGATTTCTATGTCTTTACTGATTTCCATGTCTCTACTGATTTCCATGTCTTTACTGATTTCCATGTCTCTACTGATTTCCATGTCTCTACTGATTTCCATGTCTTTACTGATTTCCATGTCTTTACTGATTTCTATGTCTTTACTGATTTCCATGTCTTTACTGATTTCCATGTCTCTTCTGATTTCCATGTCTTTACTGATTTCCATGTCTTTACTGATTTCCATGTCTCTTCTGATTTCCATGTCTTTACTGATTTCCATGTCTTTACTGATTTCTATGTCTTTAGGTCGAGTCATTTCAAGGACGAACTGTGTACCGGAAGTGCCGTTCTGTACAAGGTGACTGGAGAGGCGAAGTATTTGGCTGATGCAAAGAGTTTTAACACAGATGAAGTCCCATGGGGGTATTCCTGGGACGATACGAAAATTGGATGTCAGGTTAGTTTATTGAGGCCAATTTCCGCTTAATCATAGTGTTAAAAAGGTTAGAAAGATGGTTGTTGGGGTGATTGTGGTATTGACAGTGAACTTTGCAACGACGACGATGACGATAATATTGATGATGATGGTGATGGAGAAACTACCACAACGTCATTGAGTGAGTGAGTTAAAATTTAATCTCGCATCTGCATTAATTCAGCCAAGTAGCGACCGCAACGTCATTAAATGGTAATAATGCATAGACACCTACGCTACAAAACCACTGGACCAGACAATCCAGTGGTTGACATGATGACCATGGATCTACCATGACATTCATCACCCGATTCCATTAGCCGCCACTTACGACAAGCATGGGTTGCTGAATACCAGTTTTAACCCGGATCTTGCAAAGAAAGTGCAAGCTCGATTCATTCGCCACCACTCGCCCCTTTCCGTAACCTGCAAGAAGACTCGTCCCCCTATCGATGAATGCTATGTGTGAAAATACGACAAACCAATCAGAATGCGCGTATAATTTTAAGTTCTTCGTCAAAGAATCCCTCAGAAATAATTTTTGATTTTACATATGTCTTGCATCTTAAAATATACCCAAGACACAGTTAAATGTGTTCAATCATACTGTATAATTCCGCTCGTCCCAATGTGCTTTAAATTGCATCTGAAATATATATAATACATAGGGGAAATAATATGTGAACCTTTACGCAACGCAACAATTGTTTTGGGTATGCCCGTTTGCGCTAAGACGGAACCCGGTCGCAAAAGTGAGAGGGGCACGAGTCGCTATTCGGCTTGTCCCGGAATAACACGAGTTGGTCACGAATGAGCTCGATTGTACCTCAAAAGTTGTCAAATGTACACACCATTGGGATATTACTCGACAAAAAGGGCAAGTTGATTCCCCTTGGCATACAGTCTTGTGGATAGTACATTGTCACTCTGAATCTTTATGCTCAGATATGAATATGAAGACGGTTTGACTGGTCTCTTTTATATCTTGCTCAGATCCACCTCCACAGTCTAGGGATGGAGCATCTTGTCAGAGAGAGGAAGGTCTGTGGTTCGATCCCCAGCCGCATCATACCAAAATACGTTCAAACATGGTACTTGTTGTTACCATGCCTGGCGAGAGGCATGATGGGATCGAACAAAGGCTGGTTGCCTTGAAGTCAGTAGACAGAGTGGGGTACCTATGTTTATCCGCGGCATGATATCTAGGGAATCGCCTTTTAACAATTATTAAACAACAACTGTTTCTCTCGAACGACAGCTGCTGTTGTTCGAAGTCACCAAGGACGCCAGCTACAGCAAGCAGGTGGAGGCCTTCATGACAAGCTGGATGGCAGGCGGTGCCGTCCCCTACAGCCCGTGTGGCTTGGCCGTCAGAGACAAGTGGGGAACGCTCAGATACGCAAGTATGTTGTGGGCTTTGCTCTCAGACAACAGTTAGATACGAGGAATTACTAATTTACTTTTATGTAAAATTCCCTTTTTGACATATGTTGGGATGTTGAGGTGGCCTGGTGGTTAAAACGCTGGCTCATCAAACTTGCTTCACCCTGCCATAATATTTAATTTAATTATTTAATTCAACTGGTTAATTATCAAAGTTTGTCGTATGTAAGTACGCTGTGAAAACTAAACTGACTGTTGTATGAGAACTAAATAGTGGACCTATCATTGATATAACTGAACTACTGTTCGGAGCGTCGCCAAAACACTCACTCACTCACCTATCCACCAAAACTATCACTCACTCACTCACTCACTCACTCACTCACTCACTCACTCGTCGACAGCCAACACCGCTTTCATCGCCCTGATGGCCGCTCACGACGGCATCAACTCTAAAGCATACCAGCAATGGGCTGAAGGGGAAATCGACTACGTCCTCGGGGACAACCCCAAACACATGAGCTACCAGATCGGCTTCGGGAGCAGCTACCCTAGAAGCCCGCATCACCGAGCCAGGTAATATCTTAAGGTGTCGCCGTAGTTGCAGCAGCTGATGTTGTATCAAGACGTAACAATGGATTAGGTGCTGGCCTCAGTAACAGTTGATGGAAGGTGTTTGAAAAAATATATTTGGTGTTTGTTGATTAACGCCACACTCAACAATATTCCAGCTGTATGACGATGGTCTGAACGATGAAATGCAAATAACTCAAAACCGGTAACAGTCTATCATTTGTTTTGTTTGTTTGTTTGTTTGTTTGTTTGTTTGTTTAACGCCGCACTCAGCAACAGTCCTGCTTTATGATGGCGGTCTGTAAATAATCGAGTCTTGACCAGACAATCCAGTGATTGACATCATGACCATGGATCCACGCAATTGGGATCGATGACATGCATTAACCAAGTCAGCGAGCCTGACCACCCATTCCGTTAGTCGCCTCTTACGACAAGCATAGTCGCCTTTTACGGCAAGCATGGGTTGCTGAAGACCTATTCTACCCCGGATCTTCACAGGTCGAAAACATTATTGAAGAAGTTATTGCTAAGGTGGTAATCAAGAAAGTCGTCATTTCTAGCTGATCTAAAGACGTGTTACCCTTTGTAATCACTGCCGTATTTGTCATGTAAATCAACCGTGCAGTTATGTCACTTTTATTTTTGACAAGATACACATTAAGTCTGTATAGCTGTACATTTGTGACAGGAGCGGTGGGGTAGCCTAGTGGTTAAAGCGTTCTCTCGTCACGCCGAAAACCCGGGTTTGATTCCCCACATGGGTACAAAGTTTGAAGCACATTTCTGGTGTCTCCGCCGTGATATTGATGGAATATTGCTAAAGCGGCGTAAAACCATACTCATTCACTCTCATTTGTCACTGAAGAAGGTCCGGTATCGTATCGTATCGCTTCCAGTCAAGGAATGTTGTTTCGCACTAACCCTCGATAGCTCCTTGTCACGTGTTTGGGTGATGATTTTACGAGCGCTTTCACTAATTTCGCTCATAGAGAAACTTGAGAAAATGAAGAAAACATTTCCAAGGGTTTTGTTCATCTCTCTGTAAGCTAAGGCCTTTTAGTTTTTATTTGGGGGCACGGGTGGCCCAGTCGTCTAAGGCGCCGCGATTCGCTTTGCAGAGTTGCGTCCCTTGGGCACGCCAGAAACATATGATTGTGGGTTCGAATCCCGGTTAGCCCCGATTATGTTTCTAGGTTTGTCAGCACCATTTCCGTGCTCGTGTGTTTCACCGAAGCGGTAAACGACTGAGACCTGCATCACTTTGGGCTTTCCTCCCACATTAAGCTGACACGCCGCGATATAACTGGAATACTGTTAAAAGCGGCGTTAAACCCAATTCACTCACTCACTTAGTTTTTACTACTTATTTTACGAATCCACAGCCCCTTACAATTGGGGATGTCAGACCGAAAAAGTTTTTGTTAAATCTGATTATCACGATCATATTATAAGTTGTAGCAGGATCACTCCCGCGTCAGGTTTTATACGGAAAACCACTCGTGGTATAAAACGCGGGACGCATAAAACCCAGTTATACTTACCGACTATACACGAATTTATCTTTCCGACATGTTTTAATATGACATTGAAAAAAGAATTAAAACTAATTCAAAATTGACAGAATACAGCCATTCGATTGAGCTGAGGTTAACGTGTGCTATGTTACGTGTCTTTCACTGACTCGGAAAAAGCGTGCGGAATTTGGCACCGAAGCGGGGCATCAGGGATTTATTCTTCCCCCAAGAAATCCACGTGCAGCCTGTCTTGTTCGTGGCGGGTATAAGGGATGTATTCTCCCGCTGAGGCATTTATTTCCCTCCATGGTATTTTATCAAGGTCACGTGGACCAATCCGACCTCAATATTCTGACATGGAGGTATGATAGGTTAATAACACTAATTACTGTTACTGTTAAACGAATGGGTCGATTGTACATGTGTTACACTGATGCCTCTTGTCTGCCAGCTCATGTCCCGACCGTCCGGCCAAATGTGACTGGTCCGCCTTCAGTAGTTCCAGCCCCAACCCTCAACTCCTCAAGGGGGCAATGGTCGGGGGTCCCGATGCCACGGACTCCTACGTCGACAAACGGGACGACTACGTCAAGAACGAGGTCGCCTGTGACTACAACGCCGGCTTCCAGTCATCGCTTGCAGGTAGGTACCAGGGTAGGCGATAAACATGAGGTGTTATTGAGTATTAGATGTCCGTAAATTTCGATATACTTAAAACCCGCAAATACGAACATATTGGCAGCCACTTGTCAAACACACATGAGTCTAGAATCCCTAAATACCGTCTTGGGATAGCCACTTGTCTCTCTCTCTGTCTCTCTCGATCTCTCGCTCTCTCCTTCTCTCTGCGTGCCACCAACCAACCAAATCCCTTTATGGTTAAAACTTTCTAAACTCGAGTTTCGAGAACCTACTGAGATATACGCTGTAGGTAATTCCTACATTAAACAGTAACTTGATTAAGTATTGAGGTCACTTGATCTACGAGGAGCCGGTTTTTCATATCGTTTAATGCAATGAGTAGAAACTTAACTACAAGTACAACCTCACCGAGTGAATGTTATTGCCCGGCGCAATCATCAATCCCATCTGGACCAGACAGCCCGGTGATTGAAAGACTGTGAGCAGCGACCCAGCTAAGTGTGACCTACAAATCAGTCAAGTCACCCATTGTGTCCACCCGATACCCATTCATCTACCCATAGTACACTCATTTGGTACTGGAGCCTACTTTTGCTCCCAAGGGAAATCGTCCATGCAATCGGGACTAGTCCATTTCTTGACCGCAAGTGACTTTGTAGGCATGAGTTAATGCGATGGACATTCAAACCAGGCACCGGGTACACGGGTGGCGCAGTCGTCTAAGGCGCCGCGATTCGCTGTGCAGAGTTGCGTCCCTTGGCACGCCAGAAACCTATGATTGTGGGTTCGAGTCCCGGTTCGCCCGGATTATGTTTCTAGGTTTGTCAGCACCATACCCGTGCTCGTAGGTTTCACCGAAGTGGTAAACGTGAGACCTGCATCACTTCGGGCTTTCCTCCCACATTAAGCTGACACGCCGTGATATGACTGGAATACTGTTAAAAGCGGCGTTAAACATAACTCACTCACACTCAAACTAGGCAGCAAAAAGACAATGATACGTTGTTATATATAGACAATGTTGTGTTCCAGCACTGGTTTCCCTGGATGCGAGTAAAATGCTCCCTCCCGCCCCCGCTGCCAAGTGTTAGACACGGAACAAGAATCACGGTGTGGACAAGAAAAAATAAAGTACATAAATATGTTTTTGATTTTGTATTTGTATCAGCAATATGTCGCTGCAGTGTGGCGGCCAGTAAATAATCGATTCTCAGCCAGTGAACAAGTTGTTGATGAATACCCCACGCCGCCGGGGTACGTGGCATGTGGTCACAGGTCACAAATCATGTGAAGTGAAGCACGTTGAGCAGGTGGATGGGTGGCTGCTTGACTTCTCAGAGTTTCACGGGCTTCGGTCCTGCCCCACACTGAAGCACGTGTAGCACATGAAGCACGTGTGTTCGAAACGTGCCTCTGGCCACCCAGCTCCATCTTCCCGAGGCAAGGGAGTTAGCAGACTATAAATGTCCAGTTTGAACCCTTGCCGTACTAGGCTGGAATTATGGAGTTATATTTTGGCTGGACTAACTAGTCTGTGCATAGTCCAATCAAAAAAAAAATCGACATGCGGTTCGTAAAACTGCTGGCAGATTTCGGTCGATTGCAGGATTTACAAAGCATGTGTACCGTCAACTGAGCGTCAACAAATATTAAGTTTTTAATCAAGGTGCTCAAGTGATTCGACGCACTGCGCGAAGTAAGACCCGTTTTATTACAGTATAGATCTTAATTATCGATTAGATCGTCTTGACTGGGCAACGTAATTTGTTGAAGCAAATGCAAGTGAATTGAGAGGTGGAATCAGATTGTCAATAGGAGGTGAGGTGAGGTGAGGTGAGGTGAGGTGAAATTGGGTTTAACGTCGCGTCCAAGATTATTGCACTTATATAGCGACGTGCATGTACGTGTGTGTGTTTGTGTGGCTGCCTGTACTAGTCCGGACTGATGCCGATTTATAGTGCTAGCCCACTGAGATACCATGCCGCAGTTTTAACATGAATACCCCACTCAGACACAGTATACTGACTCCGAGCCGACCAGTCCTTGTTTTAGCCCCTTAATGCCGAGCGCCAGACAGGGTAACAACAAGTACCATCTTTTAACGTCTTTTGGTCTATCGCGGCCGGGGATCGAACCCCGGACGTTCCGCTCTCCGGGCGGACGCTCTACCACTAGACCACGGAGGCGGTTCTACATCGCGGAGCCTGACCACCGAACTGTTCCAGGTATATTTGGACCTATGCTGAAACTAAATCCTTACATCTGATCTTCAGTGCGCACACACACACACGCACGCACGCGCGCACGCACAGAACACACACACACGCAGACACACGCACACACACAGACATCTATTGTAAACCGGAATTGCAAGGGTCACTAACAGTTGACACTTTGGGTTGTAACTTGTCATATCAATACGGTGGACATAAACTATTCACAATATTGTTAATTGTACAAAGCTTTTTAGATTTTTTTCTATTAGATAGTGATCCCCATCCTGTCTCAAAATATAAACTCGATCTTGAAGAAAATGTAGAAAGAACTGCTTCTTGTTGAATAATTTAGAGTGTTGAATACTCTCTTTGAGGAGTTCTTCATTAAGGTCACCAACTTGGACAAAGTCACAAGAATCATCACGCGCAGTTTCTATCACGTGTTCTAGAACAGTCAAATATGTAATGGGGGTGTTGGGTTGCGCGGTAGTTGACACAAAGTCGAAAACATTTCTGTGGTGAATAAACTTGAAACCACAATGATTCAGTATAAAATACTTCCAAGTCTGTTATATGATGGATACTGAGGGAATTAGAGAAATATACAATTATGCCACCACAAAACATCCTCTGTCCCCCCCTGTGCGGTTCATGGAAGAGGTCAAGGAGAAGATCGGCTGACTGAACGCGAGCGTCCAGGTGAGATTCAGTGAAGCATAACACATCGAAATCGCAAATATCATCGTAGATTTGAGTCAATTTGAGCCGGATACTTCTGATATTCAAGTGGAATATGCTTACATCATTAGTTGTGTAAGATTCTTTTGGACTCGGATTTGGAGGAATACACCTGCAACGAGCGAGAGAAGGAGGAGAGAGATATATTTCATGTTACGACACGCCAGAAATTAAGACGAGAGTGTAATGTGTACATTGTACACGGCATTTGCAATGTATTTCTACTTTGCGGATTGACATTTGAAGGTGAGTTGTCATACATCTATATTAAATTAACCGGGTCCCTATTGTTGCCCTGTGCAGTCCGTTTGGCTTCAAATGAGAACGGGGCGGTCGGGTAGCCTAGTGGTTAAAGCGTTCGCTCGTCACGCCGAAGACCCGGGTTCGATTCCCGACATGGGTACAATGTGTGAAGCCCATTTCTGGTGTCCCCCGCCGTCATATTGCTGGAATATTGCTAAAAGTGGCGTAAAACCATACTCACTCACTCACTCACTCAAATGAGAACGATGAATTGCAAATAACTCAATATCGGGACTGGTCCACTAAGGGATTCATTTACTGGCTTTTCAACATCCCGCAGTTGTGTTCAATCGTCCATCGTCACCTTTAACGATACCCCATCATCAACTTTATTGGGTTCAGATCGCAGTGGAAAGGGGGAAGTCGAAGACAGCGTGACCTTGACCTTTGTAATTGTCAACCATATATACACGGGCTCAGTTTTGTTAGACTTGGTGATTTCATAGAGCTGTGGTTTTGTCGCCCTGGAAGGAAAGGTCATATTCATCCGTTGCAGCCGCGTCACCATATCTCCTTTAAGGCTGTTAGACGTCGGGTCCTTGTTGTTTGGACCCTGCGTACTGTGCATTGACCATGATAATCAATGACTTGACAGGCAAATCAGGGACCAATTTATTTTTTCACCCACTCCAGAAATACCTTGCCGTTCCTTTCTGTGTGGTAATCGGGGGCACGGGTGGCCCAGTCGTTTAAAGCACCGCGATTCGCCGTGCAGAGTTACGTCCCTTGGGCACGCCAGAAACCTATGATTGTGGGTTCGAATCCCGGTTCACCCCGATTATGTTTCTAGGTTTGTCAGCACCATACCCGTGCTCGTGGGTTTCACCGAAGTGGTAAACGTCTGAGACATGCATCACTTCGGACTTTCCTCCCACATTAAGCTTACACTGGAATACTGTTAAAAGCGGCGTTAAACCCAACTCACTCACTAACTCACTGTGGTAATCCCTCTTGTGCTTGGCCTTGGTTCGAAAGACGGGGTCACAGCACAGTCTTTCACCTTTTCCCGTTGGTAACTTTCTCCCAGACTCCTTACAGTCCCCACCGGGTACCCACTGACTGCTGGCTGTGTGAGAGGCATTTACCCACGTCTCATCAAGGAGAACAGGCTCATATCCTCCTTCACGTTTCTGCTTGATGGTGCGAAGATAATGATTCCGGAGACGAAGGATGTCAGACAGACAGACAGACAGACAGACAGACAGACAATAGTTTATTAACGTCTCACTCCTGTACATACATAAAACAGCTTTATACAACTTGACATAGATAAAATGTACAGAACCATTCAGTAGAATTATGAGAGACGAATTATCACAGAATTTATACATAAATGATATAAAGATATATAGTAAAAAGTTATCCATATAAAAGATGTTTTCTACGATTAAGAATTAAAAAGCAGACTTTGGCAAGTATAAAACACACACCGGAGTCACTGAAAATAAAACAAAGTTTGTCGACATCTGGCATATCTAAAACATTATAAGATTTAGCAATACATTCATTAAAAAGAGTTGCCCTGATATCATCATATAATGCGCAGTGAAACAAAACATGGACCTCGTCTTCTACGCTGTCATTACAGTGAAAACATCTTCTATTATTGACAGGTACACCTTCGTATCGACCGGTTTCCACTCGAATAGGAGCCACGCCACATCTAAACTTGGCTAGTGCCGATCTATAGTTTCTAGGCATCTTATTTGAAACATAGTATTCTGTCCCATATACTTGTTTGTAACATTGATACATTCTCAATTTATTAAGCCCATTTCGCCCCTCTTCCTTTCTTAACATATCGCTCCAACGGGTAACATATTCATTTTTACACCATTGTTCCACCTGTGTACACACAGAAAATTTATCAATAAAAACTGTAGCGTTTAATATATGTCCTAAATCCATATTATTAAACTTCTTTCTTACCCTACCATTCCAATTTTTACAACCATTTACAGCGTATCTATCAGCCCAGTTAAACACGTGTTTGTTTAACCTACTAGACATATTCTTAAGGCGACACCATTGTCTTGCTACACTTTTCCACTGTCTGACAACAGAACGTTCACATAATACAGGCCTGTTTTCACCACTTATCTTTCTGTATCAGTATCCAAATGTATGCAACGGTTGCCATAGCTTGTATTTTGTAACAATTAAATCATGTTCAGTTTCAAAGTATTTCTTCAAGAGTCTTAGTGACATTTGCTTATTTTCCTAATGCAGTTTAACAATTGCACGTCTAACTTGATGTTTTCTGAACACTGTCGAACTTATCAACCCCAAGTGGTTTTGATATGTTCCCCACCTGCTTCGCCTGAGAGCTAGAGTCCCGTCGGCGGACAACATTTTCCGCTTGTTAGGAGACATAGAAAGAGCTTGTTTCAAGTATTTGTTAATGGCACAAAATGTTTTTCCTCTCTCTGCTTCACATTGAAAGAAACCACACACCTTAAAAATCAGCTGAATTGCGCATCTTGTCAGTCAACAACGACATACACCAAGAAACACGTCTAGCACGTGTTTGCGCTGTTCCTCCTACCGTTGTGCAGCCCCGCCACCCCTCGCCACCCCTCCCCCCCCCCCCCCCCCCCCCCCCTCCCTCCTCTGTTGAAGAGGTCAACTTGTGCACACAACAACACAATAGTTTCTTACACCACTTTTTCCAATGATTTGGATTAGAAATAACAAACAGCAGATATTGTTGAGTACAGGACATTGACAGTTAATGGACTATTGACCCGTGAAGATCCGGGGTAGAATACGTCTTCAGCAACCAAGCTTGCCGCAAGGCGACTATGCTTGTCGTAAGAGGCGACTAACGGGATCGGGTGGTCAGACTCGCTGACTTGGTTGATGCACGTCATCGTATCCCAGTTGCGTG